GGACTGCTAAGAAAACAAACAGGTTTGTCTTGGAGAGGATGAAACCAGGCTGTTCCTTGGAGTCAAGGATTCTGAAGCTTCGTCTGACATATTTTGGGCATGTTGCAAGGAGGGACCAGTCTTTGGAGAGGGACATCATATTTAGGAGAGTGGAGGGACAGCACAGGAGAGAAAGACCTCAAAATGGATTGATTCAGTGATTGGGGCATTGGGAGTAGGTGTGTCAGAGACAGTGAGGTTGGCACAGGATAGAGCAGGGTTTAGATCTCTTGTACATAGGGTCGCTATGAGTCGCATGTGACTCGAAGACACATAACAGAACAACAACAACAAAGCATTCTTAAATATTGCAACTTGAGGCTTGAATTTGTTCTTCAGATCCTTCAGCTTAAGGAATGCCGAGCAAATTTGGTCCTTTTGATTTTCTGACTCTAGTGCTTTGCACATTTCATTGTAATACTTTACTTTGTCTTCCCGTGCTGCCCTTTGAAATCTTCTGTTCAGCTCCTTAACTTCTTGATTTCTTCGCTGTGCTTTGGCTTCTTGGTGTTCTAGTGCAATATTCAGAGTCTCTTCTGCCATCCATCTTGGTCTTTGCTTCCTCCTCTTTGTAATGATCTTTTGCATTCTTTCTGAATGATATCCTTGATATCCTCCCACCGCTCATCTGGTCTTCACGCATTAGTCTGTGTTTCATTGACTATGCAAAGGCATTTGACTCTGTGGATCACAACAAACTGTGGCTAACTCTGAGAAGAGTGGAATCCCAGAACACTTGATTGAGCTTATGTGAAACCTATACTTTGACCAGGAGGTAGTCATCAGAACAGAGCAGGGAAATGCTACATGGTTCAAAATCAGGAAAGGTGTACACCAGGAATGCATCCTTTCTCCATATCTTTTCAATCTATATGCAGAACAGATCATCCAAGAGGCTGCACCCTGTAAGGAGGAATGTGGCATCAGGATTAGAGTAGGACTTATCAACAGCCTGCATCATGCAGACGGCACTACCTTGTTTGCTAAAACTGAGGAGGACCTCAGCCATTTGCTGCAGAAGGTCAAGGACTGCAGCCTTCAATATGGATGGAAGTTCAACATCAAGATAACAAAGATTCTACCACTAGCAAGCTCTGGTGGCCTAGTGGCAAGGAGCTATACAGCAATCCCAGAGGTGTTCTGTTTGAATCCACTAGATCTTCTGCTGGAGAAGAAGGAACAATCTCTTCCTGTACCAGTCAGATCTGATTTGACAGTACACTCACACAAAATAATAAAATAAAAATTAAAAAAATAAAAAAGATTCTACCACTGGGCTGATTGACAGCATCATGATAGACAGTAAAGAGATTGAGATTATTAACAGCATCACCTTGCTTGGCTCCACAGCCAACACTTTTGGTACCAGCAGCCAGGAAATAAAAAGACACATTACATTGGGAAAATCTCCTGCCAGGGACCTCTCCAAAGTACTGAAGAGCAACGATATCAGTCTACAGACTAAGGTGTGCCTGATCTAGGCAGTGGTCTTTGTAATTACTTGCTATGCATCAGAAAGCTATACAGTGACTAAGACTGATACAACAATTGATGCCTTTGAGCTGTAATGCTGGAGAAGAGTATTGAATATACCATGGACTGCTAGGCGAACAAACAGGTTTGTCCTGGAGGGGGTGCTCCTTGGAGGCAAGGATTTTCAAGTTCATACTTTGGGCATGTTGTAAAGAGTCAGTCCTTGGAGAGGGGCATTATGCTTGGGAGGGTGCAGGGACAGCACAAGAAAGGAGGACCCAGGATGAGATGGATTGATTCAGCAGCTAGGGTAATAAGGGTAGGCATGTCAGAGACAGTCACAGCACCTAACAACAGGGAACATAAGTTGTGGAACCTCATCCTGGTCTGAACTGACTCTCTCTACATTTGTCTTCTGACCCAGCATCCAAATTTCATAGAAATTTGGCAGAGGGAAATGGGGGAAGCTTTGAGATTGGCTCTCAAACAGAGACCTACCTCACACTGGAGGATGAAAGGTGAGAGTCTCCACTTGTGGAGAAGAGAAATGTGGGTCAGAGACACAGGAGAGAGAAACAAGACCATAACATGGAAGACAATGGCAAAGGGCTCTATGATGGTTCCACAAGTTTCCTAAATTTCTAATAGTGCCCCCACCTCTGGAGGTGGAAAATGATCAGAAAGTTGACGGCAATATTAACAAGGCTGGAGAAGGATGAGCAGACTCCTCTCATATGATTAGCTGGCTCTGAAAACCTGCTGGATGGTCAGCTGTGGGTCAGTTCCAACTTTATGGTGCACAACAAAAAACAGTCCTTGGAAAAAGACAGCATGCTGGGAAGGTGGAGGGTCAGCAAAAGAGAGGAAGAACTCAGCAAATGTATTGACACAGTGGCTGTAGCAGTGGGTTCAAATCTTTCCGAGATGATGAGGATGACACAGGCTAGGGCAAGGTTCAGGTTTGTTATTCATGGGGTCGCTGTGAGTAGAAGCTGACTCAGCACTTAACAACAATTAGGCGTTGGGACTAGAACGGTAAACGTGAGAACCCAAACAAAGCAAGCAGATATATGAAGTAATGTCATGCTTTCACCTGTGTTATAAAGAATACTTAACAAGAGCCTGAAATGCCTACATAAAGCAGTCAACAAAAGCCTCTCTGAGAAGACAGCATTTAAGCAAGAATTAGCTGCAAATATTGTGAAACTTCAGCAACATTTCTGTTTGTTCTGTGATGAGTAAATAAAACACATTTCCCCTAATGTAGAAACTGCCAAGAAAGACTATTAGTAGGAACATACTGGAATAACAATACCTCCTCTTCCGGGCTCATTACTATCAGACTGTCCCTTACAGGGAAGTTTTGCAAAGAACTTTACTGGTGAAGGTGAGGGTGAGAGTGGAGGTGAAGCTTAGGTATTTGGCAATCGTGAGATATTATTGACCCCAAATCATTAATCCAAGGGCAAAGCTGAAGAGACGTGGGAATGCCCCAGGAAGACCCTGTGTGAGGCTTGAAAAAAGCTATTCTCAGAGTATATCTAAGTAGTATGCTTATCTCTCTATGTGGTTGTTAAGTGTATATTAAATACCAATATCTCTACCTGGAACTGTTTTAGCACAAAGCTTGGCACTTTATGCACAAAAAAATGTTAATATCAACAAAATAGTTCAGAATGGGCAAAGGATTTTAATAGAAACTGAAGCCAAGAAGATATACAGATGACAGACAAACACGTAAAACAATGCTAAACACCATTACTCATTCCAAACCAACCTCCATTAAGTCCATTTTGACCCAATGTATTTCCGAGTAGAACCATGCTCCTCCATAAGGGGTGACTTTGGGGAAGTAGATCACCAGGGCTTTCTTTGAGGCATCTCTGGCTAGACTTGAACTTTCAACCTTTCTGTTAGAAGTTAAGAGAATTAACCTTCTTGCACTACCAGGAAATCCCATTAGTCACTATGAAAAAACATACCAAAACCACGCTGAGTTACCACTTCACCCCAGCTAAGATGGCTCTCATCAGAAAACAAGTGTTGGTGAAGATGTCGAGAAACTGGAGCCTTTAAGAATTCTGGTGAAATTGTAAAATGATGTGATCATTGTGGAAAATAATTTGGTGATCTCTAAAAAAGTTAGATATATAATTACTCTATGTTCCAGAAATTCCACTCCTAGGTGTATGCCCCAAAGACTTGAAAACAGAGACATGTTCACTAGTCAGATACTTGCTCACTAATGTTCACTGCAGCACTAGTCAAATGACCAAAAAGTAGGAAAAACTCAGGTGTCCAGCAGATACATGGAAGCAAAATCTGGTATATATGTACATATATATTTGTTGTTGTGTGCTGTCTAGTTGGAACTGACTCTGAGCTGATCCTCCAGCAGGATTTCAGAGGCTGTAAATGTCATGAGAGGAGATTGTCCATCTTTCTTCTTGAGGAGAAAATGGTAGATTTGAACCATATGTCTCTAGGTTGCAAGGGCAGCTCCTTACATTAGGCCAGTATTTCTCTCTCTCACTCTGTCTCTGTCTGTCTCTCTGTCCCAGTCTCTGTGTCTCTGAGTCTCTCTCTCTCTGTCTCTCTCTCTCTGTCTCTCTCTCT